CTTTTCCAACCTTAATGATTCTATGAACTCCTGTAAATCCCTTGGTGGCTCATGAACCAGAGCACGGGCACCACGGGCTTAAGAAACTCTTGCAAATCCAAGCTCTCACAAACAGGTGTCTGCACATGCAACTTAAGCAGACAAAGCACATGCCAATTTGACTGTTGCATGTAGATAAGAATGTATTCAAACTATAGTTCTGCTTCTGGAAATTTTTATGGGACTGATTATTACACTAGGAATGCTGATTACATAAAGGATCCTTACAGTGAGAATAAATTATTTCCTTTGTAGGACTGAACAAATGTAAAGCAACCTTAGTATAAACAAAAGTCAGTCCTTAATACATCAGCGAGTCTGTTCGTGAGTTGCATTAAAATTGACTGAACAACCAAGACCAGTATATTTACTCCCATTTGTTTACCTACAAGAAAAAAAGTCTTTGTGCAACTTAGGAGGCTACATTTAAGTAAGTGTGGCTGAAGAAGATGGACTGGGCAGACAGGACTTGAAGCAGGTTGGCAGTTAGGCTAGAACAGAGACTGAGTTCAAGATTGTGTGATAGGACACACAAGGCCTGAAAGCTATTTTTGCATAGTTTGGGGCCAAAGAAGCCACGTAACACCTCTTCTTCAGAGACTGACACATTGGATCTCTCCTGCTTTCTTTATGTTCAACTTGAAATTCAGGCTGGGGAGAACACAGATTTAGAGGCACAGATTTTTAGCGCTTCTTTTTTTTTTCAGATACAACAGGAGTTTGCACTGGAAGATCAAAATCGGAAGATCCAGTTTGGATCCATCTTGATTTAATTGCACATTGCATAATTTAAAGTACATTAGAAATTCAATATTGGATTTTGTGTTCTCAGTGATTTAACCGCCTGCAGACTAAACTTTAGCAAGGTTTATTTTGTATATAAGAATAATTTTTAAGACTGCTTTGAATAACTTTGTTTCATGCTGTGTCTTTCACAAGGGAAAATCATAAAGAATCCTGTGCAGAAGCTACTTTGATTTTTAAAAAGTAAGCATAACAGGATATTAATAATTTCATTTTTACTTTTAATTTTTAAAGAAAATATTGTCTGAGTGAAATTGGCTGCTCCCGTTCAGGAACCATGGATCTAGGTGGAGCAGAGAGGGCTGGCAGTTAGAAAAAGTATTCAGTCTATCTTGTAAACCAAGAAACCGGATTGAAAAGTCAAAAACGGATAACAAGCGTGGAAATCCACACTGCAAAGTTACAGAGTTATCTCTCAGTGAATAACTGCACTTTATTGAATGGATTACTTTCTAATTCAGGCATCAAACTATTCAAAATGCTCATTTGCATGCACAAAGCAAGCAACTTTCTTCAGAAGTGGGTGGCTAAGTTTATATGCAACTAGCCGTTCTACAAGTGCGATAATTTCATAGATTTTCATGTGCTTAACTAAGACTGGAGTATTTAATTACGTGTATGAATTAAGTAAAGGGAGAAGCACTGAATCAAAAGAGGTGGAAAACAAAGTTCTTCATCCACAGAATGAGTATAAAGAGAGTGGTGCCTTTCCTAGCTTCCCTGGGCCTCCTTGCTGACCTGGGATGAGCAGGAATTTGCTTTGTACTTGCTTGTACAGGCTACAGCCCAGTCTGCTTCATAAAAGGCCCCTTTAGCCCATACCCTCTGCAACCTAGAAATCTGCACACAGAAAATAGGAATCAAACTTCCTAATCCATTCACACAGGCGATAAAGCAGCCATCTCAGATGATAACAAAAATGACTCAACATAAGTGCCAAAAGAAAGGTGAAAGACTACTTCCCCATACCAGTTTCCTCAACTGTGCAGTTGCCGGAGCTGAGGTGCCAGGACTAACAATACTGCCTCGGGAAGCATAGAAGTGCATTGTCAAGGTTGGAAAGCCTCTGTCTGGCTTGAGCCTTTTATGACTGTTTGTTTTGTAGAGCTCGGAAAGAATCCATGTGATTCTTAAAACAAAGGTCAACACACATCCGTATGAAAGTGTTTTAATGTCCTCTTCAAAAGAGAGATCTAGTTTAGTGCCAGCTGCCCAGTGCTCTGAAGGGGAGTTAAAAAAGATCACAGTATAATATTAAAGATAAAATCTAAGAGATTAGCAAACTAGAGTTATATAAAGAAGGCATGCAAAGCCTTTTTATGCAAAGATTAAGAAACACCTAACCTGCTGCAAGACAAAGGAATTGGAGCAAAGATTAAGAATGTGTTGAAGGAACATGCAAGACAACAATGAAACAGAAAGATAAGAAGATGAGGTGACTGGTACCATATTGTAACTCTACTCATTTTTTCTGGTCACTGCTTGCACCTCTCACCCTCTGCAAACCAGCTGGTTTGTGTACCTAATGTAAACTGTGAATAACTCAGTAGGCAAATGATTTTTCAACCTCAAGAATTTTTCAAAACAAGAGAGTACAAACAATAATTTCATTTTTTCCATGTTAAAGGGGCTACTACTTTCTAGTAGTAAGTTAGCTATGTCTGCACTTACTTAAAACCTTGTGTTTACTTTACTTTCGTATATACACACACAGATATATAAATGTATCAAAACGCAGTTGTGCTGTCTCCCACTATATCTGATTTCAACTCTTATGCTGTTCAGAGACACAGGACTGGGAGCGTGATGCTCACTGACTGAACACGAAGTGCAACGATTACTCTGACTGTGCCCGCTGCCTGCACCACAGCCAGTACTACTCCTATTCTTGCTCAACTTTCCTCTGAAAACAAGTCTAAGCTTTGGATGATATCACCCACCACTTCACTTCCCTAGGAAGAAAACAGTGCTCATATCAGTGAAAGAAGTGAAGTGGTTGAATTTACACCTAGCTCACCATAAACGTTACATTACCAAGTATATGACACTCCCCAGCTGCAAGACACAGCATCTGCTTCACCCATTAACTAGCACTCCCAACCCTGTGAAGAGACAAGCACCAACCCCATTCCCATGGTGGGGAAGGAACCAAGGAGAGGAAGGGCAATACTTCATCTGCTATTACAAAGAAAATCAGTCAAAAATAGAAAGAATTAGAGCTAAGATGTTCATTGGCCCAGGACCAATGCATACAACCCCTTCCTCCCCTCCCAACTCCAAGGCACCGGCACAAGAAACATGAACCAGCCTAGAATAAAAGCCTTACGTGTGCAATATGAATCCATTTCTCAATGATCTTGGCTCTTTGCTGTGCTTTGAGTTCTTTGTTCTTCAGGATAGTGCTGACAACACATCTGGTAACTGCATTGAACTGAGAGATGGTGGCTCTGATGGTAGGTGCCAGGTGCTTGTTTTCTTTCTTATCCCTTTGAGACCAGATGCACCCCAAACAGTGGTAGGGCACAACTTTCTTGAAGAGCATCTAGAGTGCAACAGAGGTGTGTAAGTCAGCAGGATTCTCCTAGATCTCTACTGTTGACAGGACAAAACGCATGTTTACAGTACAAATTGGATTTAAATCTAATATGGAATGAAAAGTAAATATTTGTTTCTTCTTATTTAAAATATACACTTTGGTATACTCTTTATAGGTTTGATGCCCTAAAAGAACTGTCAGCTAAATAGTCCTAGAAAAATAAGAGTTGCACAACCAAGGGGAAATTTTTTCTATAATATTTTGAAGACGATTGATATAGACAAACCAAATCAGAGCACTAGAGTTAAGAGTACCTATACATCTTTAGGCCAGGGAGCAATACAGTCAAAATGTGCTATTTCTCAGGTGTCAAATACTAAGCTTTGCAAAAAAGCTTATGCAGTGTACACTCACACTTCTTTTTTAAAAAAAGAAACCCTTCAGAATAACTGAAGGAAAAACCCAAAGAACAAAGCAGGTTTGGATAACCAAGCAGAGCTGTGTTCCGTGTCCCAACAACAGACCTATTCCGGAACACTATATTTATACTGATGTAACTTTAAAAAAAAAAAAAAAAAATGGAAGCCTTGCACTATTTCCCCTAGCACTTCAACTAGTACGTATACTGTACATACCGCATCCATGTATGTCAACTGTTCGGCCACAAGGTGGTCTTTGAAAAAAGATAATTCTTCTGAACCACTGATCTCCAGTTCCTCTTCATCATCTAGGTTACAGGTGGAAATGCTATGGAACCCCTCTGTCCAGGATGGAAAACACAACTTAGTAGGTTTATACAGCAAACAGTGAATCAAAGCAGATGCTTATTTTAAAACATCACTATATATATTATAGCAGAATGCCTGCCTGGTGTAATTGCCCCACTGTGCAGCTTATTTTAATGAGAAAGGTGATGACTACAGGCCAGATTTCATTAACAAACACAAGGAGCACATTTCAGATGGGGTTACGCAATGCTTCATATCCAGTTACAGAAGAACAGACATTAAAGCAACACAAGCAAAGTGAAACTTCATCACTATTCTTCAAAATACTTAATTTGTTCTTTCTTCATTAATTAGCAAAACCTAATAATCAATGTCAACTGCTACAGTTTTGATGTACCAAAGTATAATTACAGGCTGTATCCAGATTTCCAATTGCACAATTTATTGACAGAGTTGAACGTGATAAATGGAGACCTCTGTTCAGGCCTTATTTTTCCGTGGCTGTTTTGTAACAATGTGCATAACTAGATGGACATCTACTGCAATATTACAAGAGTCACCCGTTTTTCTCTCTCCCTTTTTTTGGCTGTGTAACTCCTCATTTTCCCTTCAGCTCTTGAAATTCAACTGAAAATCCTCATCATTGAGTTGCAACCCTACTCAAAACCTCACAGCCCCTGAAAATCAGGTCCTGGAGTGCAACTCAAGATTTTCCTTTTCTTTTTTCACTCCTCTTTTTCTCCTTTCTCTTTCACTTTCATAAATGTGTAACCAGTCTTCTCCCTACTCCCTAAGAAGCTGGAATCCTCTTGTACTCAAGTATCTTATCATCTTCAAATCACTCTGAACCATTTAAGCCCTCTCAAGGCCAACTGCCCTCTTGACTTCAGCAGAGCAACCACACACCCCTTCTGAATTTGCAGTCTCTGCCTCACCTTGCTTTGTATTGCTCAAGTTGCAAGCACTGATGACAAAGGAACAGGTTTTATCTCTGTATCTGCTACCACTATCTAATCTACCGGCACGGCTGATGGCAGCACTGAATGGAAGGCTGATTACACAAATCAAACTGTAGGACTAGGACCCAAATTTGTCAATTCATAGCACAACACAAATGCTTTAGAACAATAATAATCATCAAGTCTTGACTGCAGGTAACACATTAAGAAATCTTTTTTTTTTGAAAGAAATCTCTGAAATGAACAAAGACGGAGCTCTGATAAAGTGACAACTCTAAAACTCTTCTCTGCAGACTTGTCTTCTCCTCCTTTTATTTTATTCTAATTAACAGCCTCTATTCTGCCACAATTTGGAAAATGTTAGCATTCAACTGACACATCTGTAACACATAAAAGAACCTTTACAACTATGTCTTGAGGAAACAAATGCAGAGGCAGGGCTGCTGGGAACTTCTGCTCACTTTGAATGACTGATGAACCCAAATATAGCTCTCATGAGCATTCTTTGTTTGACCTGTGGGAAACCAAACTCAGGAAAGGACATCAAAAGGCACATACTAGCAATCCTGTTCACTTACCTGTGGTCAATAAGAAAAACGCCTGGGCTCTGTGCGGTACTCTTTTTTATGTACGTGTTAATGACTCAGTTAATTTGGTGTTTCACGGTATTATACATCGACATGGTATTTCTGGAATATCCGGCAGCCATCATTTTTATGGGATGAAATGGGTTTTTTTCCTGTCATTTCCTTTATCCTTTATTACATGAACTATTCTCTCTCACCCCTGTACCACAGCTGGAAGTTGATTCTAGTTCTCATTCACACACTACGTGAGCTCCTATGACTTTTCAGCTTATGCCACAGGAAGCTTTCTGACCGGGATAAGGGTAAGGCTTGACGCTGCACACAGCATATTTGTGTTACTACAGTTCACTATTGTTTCAGTCGACTGTGACCCCCAATAACGTAAGTTTTTCCTCTGTCCTTGGATACCAGCAGCCAGCCACTCAAATAGGAAAAAACAGCCACAGACACTTCCTTTGACATGATGGTAACCAGGAAGAAAAGCTTCATAACAAGGCTGGTGACTCAAGCTGTATGTTGTCGCAGGTCCGTATTTTGCTTTTCGTTGGTTTGGGCTTTTCTTGATGGGGGGGGGGTTAAATCAGAAGACCAGCGAAAGAGCAGCTGTGCATTTTGATTCTATTACAGGGGAAGTGTGCTAACAATTAACCACTTAGTTGCTTCAGTGATCTCAAAGCTTTGGCTAAATATTAGAGAAATGCTAGATTTCCCAGTCTACCCCAGAATGAACAGGCATAGGCACCTACACTGTGTGACTATTTCATCCCGCACAAAACCTGCAGCCTCATACAGAGATTTAAAAAAGAAACAGGAAAAAAGTCAAATAGCATAAGAGTTAATGAAGTGTACTCCATGTAAATGCCTGTGGTACCATACAGCCTGGGAAAGCAGAAGAAAAAGGTAATTTACCGTCATTTTCCACTTCTTGGTTCTGGAACTGCTCCAAGAGATTCTGTGCCCTCTTCTCTGGGTCAGAGCCAGGCATATTCTTCTTCAGGTAATCCAGCAACTTTAGCAAACACGGGTGGTTGGGCGGCTCTCTGAAATCCTCAGAGCACTGATCGAGCCAGGCTCGTAAGATTGATGCTATTGCACTAAAAGCAAATACACAGAGAACACACTGGTTGTATAAAGCATGTTTTGATGCAATTGTATGTATCTGTATCTAATACAACAAAAAAACCACCGAGACATTCATACCCCACGTGGAGGCAGTATGAAGACTTTTTTGGGCAAGAAATTTAATTAGTTCTTTTTATGCATGGAATCTTATTACGATATCACTCAGATTTTACCAGGGACTTCAGTGAGGTTGCTCCTGATTTGCACTCCTACAAGTGGATCCAATTATAGCCCCCAAATGCAAACTACGTGAAAGAGCAGGAAGTCTGAAGGTTGAACTAGGCTCTTCAGTCTTGTGCGGATGTCCCTAACTCAGGCCCCAAGGAGGCAGCAAACTGCCGAAAAGAGGGTCCGGTCTACAAATGGGTGCTTCTGTTCCACACAGGAGGGTGACCATAACTTGCCATTGCTTCTTCCTAGCGCTGGTCTTAATGCATGTCTTGCTGTGAGGGGTTGGTCTCTCTGATCTTGGCAAGACTGATCGTGCAGGTTCCTCCTCTTTATGTGCCTCATCTACTGTACTCAGGGCCTCGTACCTATTCTGTAAGGGTATCTCGGGGGTAACTTAGAGAGTAAGGAGGGGTTTCTCTTACTGCTCTGTGCTGTAGCCTTCTTCCACCCCTTCCTATCCCTTGTGATACTGCCTTCCTCCTGGCACAGAGCAAACCCAGGACCTGCCTCCGTTGTGGCCTCGCTGAGTTGGCTTCTATGCATCATAGATGGCAGAGTGGTGCTCCGTTGATCAATCTCCCTCTCACACTCTCGAATACTCCTTGATCTGCCCATCTCCTCCAGCACGCAGTTCATCCGCCTGGTCACACCTCCCGCAGTCTTGCTTGCAATCACTTTCCACCTCTAGGAATATCCCTCCACACATCCCACAGCCAGAAACCTGGCTGGTCTATGCTTGAACAAGAGCTCTGTCTGTATGGCTGCATTGGTTCTGCCAGGTGCCAGAAGCTCAGGAGAAGCAGGGGACACTGTTTTTTGCTGGGTAGCCACCAGGCTGCCACACACTGGCCTGCTGGGAAATAGCTGCAGTCAGCTGGGCTGATCTTTTTGCCTGCCTAAACATCTGCGCTGCTGGGTGCAGGCTGCATGCCTTGCTGTCTCATCCAGTCCAGGGTCAGTGGCTTGGGGAACGCCTCCAGTTCAGTGTCCATGTGCACCCCTCCGCATGTGTTCTGCCACTGGTGGTGGCCCTCACACTGCTCTGGCATCTGTTGCCATCAATAAGAATAGAAACAGCCCTCTCCCAGGTACCAGTACCTCACATAAAACCATATCATTTTCTATTGCTGGCATTCATTGTGATCCTGCTGCCCTGTATTGCACAAGCTAGCAAAAGCAAGACTTGGAAATTATCTTAGAGTTATGCTTTGTTTAATTAGTTGAAGCATCTTTGCTTAGCTGTACTGTGACCGTGCTTGAATAACTACCAGGCATTATGCACAAAATCAAAAGCAGAACATAATTTCTTAATTCCCTCTTGTGCCAATCGGAAAAGCTGTGGGCCGGTGAGGGTCTAATGTTTGCTCCATTACCATTCCCTGAGATGTTGTGGGAAAATAGCAGGGAGGAAACTTGGTATTAATGGCTTCTTCAAGGTAGCAGCTTCCTAGTGGAAGTGCTAAATCGAACATTTCCTTTGGTGCCCTTCCTCTCCTCAATCACTGCCGACAAGTCTGGGGACCAAACTGAAGCAGCATATTCCTCCACACCACAGTACTTGTTATCTGCTGTCCTAGTAGAAACACTGCCTGTTCATGAAACCTTGTGTTCTGTAAAAAAAAGCAGTCTGAGACTGAACCTACCCACTGTGAACACACACAGATTGCCTCATCTGTGAAGATAAAACCCTAATCGTGACACGTGCCGCATGGGCAGCACTATGCTGCCAGTGCCCAGTATCAAGCTTGAAGATAGCTGAACCCAGAAGACAGACTGGTCCTGCTAGTCTTAGGATGAAATGCGTAACGAAAACATATCAGCAGAATCTGGTTTTTACCCTTAGCCCAAAGACCAGGAGGGGCTGTCAAATTATACCACGCAAGAAAGCTTCGCGGTCACACTGGCCATGCAGGAAAAGGATGCTTAAGGAGTTATAGGAGTGTTGGATTTCATTCAGGAAAGTTATCCCAGACCTTCTTAGACACATGCAGCTAAATAAACAACTGGTTAGACAGACCAGTCGACTTGCAGACAGTTGCAAACAACTTCCCATGGACAATCCTTCTACAGACTGAGGGGGATGAGGGGAAACCAGAGCTGATGAATCAACATGGTTTCCACCCTGCCTGAAGTGGAGGGAAGTGATCTGTTTATCTGCTTTAGTCCACACCCACCTATTAGATTGGTACTTAGATATTGCACAAATGCATGCTTATGGGGATTTCTTTAAATCCTCTCTTTGCAGGGATTTTTTTAATCATTTCAACCTCATTTTGTAAGAAAATAAGACTTACAATTTACGCTATAGTTTTTCCAGAAATTACTTCCAACGTTGTTGGCAAATTTCAACCAAGTGTGGAAAATCCGGAAGAAGTCTGGAAAAATAACTAAATTTCTTCAAGTTTTAAGAAAATTTGAGCCTGGATAAAGAATAACAATCAACTTATTTTTTTCTGCAGCAGGAAAGACTCTGAGATCTTTGGTTCTTCATAGCAATGTCCCGGTAAATCAGCATGTATATTTCAGTGCACTGATTAGCACTGGCCACAGCACATATTACAGGCTGGAAAGACACAGATGGCATATCAAAACACTTTTTAAAGACAATTTTGTTTACACAAGCTGACAGAGAGGGGTTAGGGAATACGACTTTCAGATGCAGTCACTTAACATGACACAGTGGCCACGGCCACTGTCTTGTGATCACCGTGTTCAGAGTAGGACATAACGTGAGAGGGGAAAAGGCACTTGTTCCAGAATAAAAGGTAAAACAAACATCTAAACTTCCCGAGAAAAGAAAGTCCCGAAGATCTGCTCTGGGACACTGAAAAAAATCCCTGTATTTCAAATCTCTTCCAGACAGCAGTCATAAATGCTGTAGCGGACGCAAGAGCTCCCCTAGAGGCATTGCTGTCATGGAAAGCAGGGGAAGATGCTCAGGAGAGAAGAAACCCACTTTTGCAGGGAAGCAGATCCCATGAACTTCACTGCCATCAGAAGAACAGCTGAGATGACCAAGTGACAACAGCCCCAGTTTGCAGCAGGCCCTGTTCAGCTCTGCAAATGCTTTGGGCTGTGCTGTGTAAGCTGGGAGAGCTTAGCCCTTCAACAACAATATTGTTCACATCTACAGAAACCTGCCCATCAAGCGATACCTATCCCAATAACCCTGTTTCACAAGACTCTAGCACAATAGCAGTACCCCATATTCCCAATCACATCCCATGACGAGAAGGGCCATGCTTTCAGTAAAAACCTCTAACCACAAGTATCCAGTTTAGAGACACTGATGTGTCAGCTCAAAGAGCATCTGTGCTCATGACAACCAGGCACTTGGCTTTGAAAAGTTCAAGTCCTCAAAAACACAGATGTAGTGGCTACGGGTCTGTCACGTTAACAGATGCAAAACGGAAAGGGACAAGCATGCCACAAAGACCTCTCTTTCCTCAATTTATGAGATCACGAGAGGAGTTCAAATATAAACATAGATTTCACAGGTAGACAACAAAGAACCCAAAAGCCAACCCAGAAAGCTCTTGTATCAGAGCTGCATACAAATACTGGCCTGTTTGTTCTGCAAGGAGAGAAACCACAGCGATATCTGGTTAACTCAGCTGCTCAGTGGCACTCAGAATGAACCAGTAGTTAAGAAAGGGTAAAGATAATTTCTCCCACTCTCCTTGTCCCATCTCAACCATACTGGTTTTTCCTCAAAACTCAATTAACTTCTAATCCCACACAGATGTCATTTTACAAGTCCTATCCACTCGTAACCTCCACTGGTGCTTCCTCTGTTTCCTTCTCTGATACTGTGGCAACTCTGAATTTCTAAATGGAGTCTTTGGAAAGCTGTCACTAGTACTGTTTGGTTAGGCTTGCTGACAGGAGAAATTTTAGAGCTACAAAAAGTATTTACAACCAAAAACTGACAAGCAAACACGTTCTGGATTCCAGGTTTCATTGCAAACACGAAACACAGATTATCCAGCTTGGAAGACTCTCCTCCCATTTGAAAACCATTCTGGACTAAATTTTCACAACTCTGCTCAGACAAGCTTCCATTGCACACGCAACAAGTAAGGCCTTCACGCTTTTAGGCCAGTGGTGGCCAAACTTTTTATCTGGAGCTTCAGGCTTGTTTTTCTCAGCCAGGACAGGTGTCACACAACAGCCAGTGCTCCACCACCGCCGTGGTGACGCCAACAGCGCCAGCCCAGCTCCACATCCCAAGGCCAAGAAAGGACACAGCAGATGCCCACAGAGACGGTCCCCAGCACTTGCTCCACCCTCCCGCTTCCTCACAGTTTTAATCATCCTCTCTAGCCCCTCACATACCCAGAACCCTGTGTCACAGCAGTGCTTACAGTCACAAATGCCACTGTCCTGCTTCTACTAGATTTTCCTTCCTGTTCCCCCACAGGCAGAGGCACGCTGTACCTCACTCCATGCCCTAACGGAGCATTTTCTCATGCTCTGTACCCCTTTTCTGCACCCACATGACAAACTCACCTTCATCCCTATGACTCCACCACCAAAAACTATGCTGGGTATCCTTTTCTTACGAGCATTCACCAGCTCAGCAATGATTTGGAAGGATACATTCTTGTACTAATACTGTTCACACACTTTATCCTAAGCTCTGTTTCCAAAGGCTTGGTTAATGGCTGCTTTCATAAGCTGAAGAATAAACAGAACTTAAGACAGACCCAGTCTCCCAGAGCAGGGTGAAGAGTTCACAGCCATTACAGACACTGATTTTTGCCAGCAAAATCATTTCGCTCCAGAAGGAAAATAGGAAAGAGAAAGAAGATACCCTGTGCCCTACTGACCTCCTATCGCCTGACTATTTAATTGGTGTGGCAGGGAGGGAAGCTTCCTGAAAAGGGGCTGGAGAATTGCCCATATCTTGTAGTAGGAATATTTACGTACATCAGGCACTTTCCTTCTCAAATCACGTCACAACTCTACACTACAAGTACAAAAGGTAGAGAGAATTTCAACATAGAAATGAGCAACCTACTGGCTTACAGTACACCACATACATCATCATACTCCTCCCATATGGACCTAAGATTTTGCAAAATCCCCTCTCCTTTAAAGATCCATGAGACATGTAAAAAGTCAAATTCTTCTCCTGCAGTTGTTTTTAACTTCTTCACCATTTTTTGGTTTGTGTCTCAAACCAGTGGAAATGCTTTAAATTGCAGCCCCATTTCTAATATCCCAAATGGATTTTCAAAGCATCTGAAATCTCACAACAGGAGTCTGACAAATATAGAAGAATTATATAATGTTTCTGTTCTACGAGAAAAGAGGGCAGATGCAATTATATTGGAATTATCCTAGACAAGAGAAAACCTGTTCACAACAGGACTACAAAGCCAACCTCTTTTGCAGATACCATTAATCATATCTAAGAAACAAATAGCCAGAGCATCTGAGAGCAATGGAAATTTTTAAGGCAGGAAAGTGAATTCTCATTTATACAAGATCTGTTAAAACACATATACCTGACTAATTACTTCATTGACAACTTCATTGCTGAGCCTTCTGTAAATAAGTAGTTGGGTAACAGGTATGGAATTCAGACATAAAAGGTATCTTATAAGGGCCAAAGGATCAAAATCAGCTGTGCTGCTTATATTAATGAAAATTGTATCAGACAAGCTGGTCAGGAGCTGGGCTACCACAGCAATAGCACCACAGATTCCATCCATTTGTCAGTCCTTGTCTGTGCAAAGGCATTACGTGACGGTTACGTGCCAGGAGGGAAGATGGCATTAATGAGTCAGAAAGCAACTAGCAGGGGGTATATGATGAACTCTGTATATACCAGTAGGAAAACAATTCCATTTTAAAAAATAAATAAAACAAATATTCTCCTACTAAATGCTAATTTCACTTGCATGCTCCTCTCCAAGCATAAGAAAAAAAGGATGCATTTTGACCAAAGCCTGAGTGATGCTAACATCAAGATTACTTTCACCCCTTTTCTCTCCATCTCATAATCAAGTTCCTTTACATTCATGAAAAGGCAGTTGGAAGATTAATCCCAACATGATTTGTACTGGTGAAATTATCTTCCTCATCCCCAATATAAATCCTTCATCTATTTTGCAGGGAGAGTACTGCTTTAGCTCATATCATATGGCTGGACTGACTGAGACAGGAGGAGGTCAAATGGTTTGCCCAAAACTGGAGGAGACCCTAGAGCTCATTTTGGATGGAAGTGTGGGAACCTGCTGGCTGCTTATTTATTGCGTCTGCCCTCTACATAATGCTGTCGCCTTGGTGCTTGTGACCAAGTTTTAACTACCGGTTAAATAAGTTCTTGTGGCAAAATGGGAGAAAAATATTGATAGCTCTCTGTTACACTAGCCAGGAAAGAATTGGAGAATTGAGCTCCCATGTCTAGTCTCGTGGGGCAAGAGGAACAGCCCAAATCAGAGCTTGTAGCCTTCTGCCCTTGGCCAAGCGCTAAAAAAAATAAAAGTAACAAGCGATAACACTTTGTTTCTAACTAAAGCCTTTGAAAATCCTGTATCATTTACAGACATTAATTAAGCTCTACATTGCTTCTGCAGTCAAGCAAGCATAATTCGTTGTGTATTCAGAGACAGCGACCGAAACGGTCACAGCCAAGGAGCTTTTCCCAATTTATCTCTGGTGGTTAAACAAAACAGTTTCCGCATGGATGACAGAAGGCAAAGTGACCCCACTGTCTAACCACTCCATCCAGACAATGCAGGACAGGAAGGTGTTTGGTACGGTAATGGCACTTTTCTGAACTGGGCATATTTGAACCTCTTTAAGCCAGACTCAAAACTCACCTATCCCAACACACAAAAGGAAAACAAAAGGAAACTAAAGGCTGCTTCTTCAATTACACTGTGAGAAATCAGTACACTGACAAAAAAAAAAAAATAAGGTTTTCTTAACTAGTGGAAGCTGAGATAAATTCATAGAAAAACAATCTTCAGTAGTGCTGACAAGAATCAAGCATTATCGCATGCTGTAACTACATATAATGACACAGCTCCTTTTTACTGCCATGATGCACACAAACCACAGATCATACAGACATCAAATTCAAATGCTGAAGACTTAAGGCACATTTTACACCCAATTTCTAAAAGATAAAACACGGTTTCATATGATGCTAGGAGGATAACCAAACCACTTTTTTCCCATTTAAGCTACATTTCCAAACAGCTTTGCTATTTTTCTTGCAAATTAGGATGACTTCAGATTTAATTTCATCCTGAAAGCAACACTGTAAATCATCAGGGCACTAATGGAAAAGAAACTCATTGCCTGAAACAACCTCAGCTTTCTTCTGCAGACACTGTCGTAATGCCCAATAAAATCAGTCATAAGCAATAATAATTTACTGCTACAGTTGTTTAATCAACAAAGTGTTGGCCTAAATGTGTTCGTCTCATGTTTAATTCTGAGACAACTTCCCTGATGGGAAGATCTCTGGGTTATATGATTGGATATGTTACGAGACAGCTGATATTTGGCCTTTACACAAACCTGTTTAAGCAAGCAAACAGTGCTGTGAATTTTCAAAGGAAACAACAGCTATGCTGCCCACATCCTCCCCCAGTGCTGAATCCTGACTGGGGCTTGCCGTACAGTGCAAAACCACACTTACGTCCTGAGTACTGTTTTGGATTCGGAGGAATTCTGGCTTCCAACCTCTTCACAGCTTGAGGTCTCCAGGTTTCCATTCCTGAAAAATGAGACGGGTGTTTACAGGAACATCTAGTGAATAAAAGCAAAAATCCCAAATAGCATAATCCATATACAATTACTATAAACAACTAAAAAGTGTTTCTAGCTCAAACTATAAATATGGAATCTAACACTAGGGCAGAATTAAGGAGCTTGAAGATTATTTCATTTAGGAGGAAAAAAAAATAATCCAGAAGAGACAGCCAATATCTTCCAACCTAATTTGTTAATTTATATGAAGAAGGCTGCTGCAGGAGGAATCGGCCAAAACAGTTTCCTTGCTCACAGCTCGGAGTCCCTTTCTGCCTGTTTCACTCCATCCTTTCCCAGAGCAATACTCCAGTGTGCAACAAGGCTGTAACACAACCACTTTCTCCAATACAGCTTCTGTTTCTCTTGTATTTGTCATTCCCTCTAACTCCAGGTGTGATTTCACACAAAGTTTTCTAGGTGGCAAGTGCCCACTTGTGCCAAAACTACTCGCACAGTTGTCAGGCGTGGGAATGGCCCTTGGTGCTGGGAGAATGCCACGGGGAAAGAGGAAACCACAGGCACAACTCCAACAGTGCAAAGGAAAATCTCTTACCTCCGCAGGCATGTGTGTGCCTTGAAGGCAGGATTATGCACTTCATTTTCAATGGTAGTGCCTATTGGTTCGGACATACAGCTCGATAAAGGATTTCATGGTTCCTCACACGCTGCTTTAATGAAGGTGGACAATTACAGTCCAGAACAAGGCAAGCTGATTTTACACCTTCTGTGCTCAACTAATTGTGTCAGGCACCTGCAATAACTCTGAATAGTTAGGAGAAGATGTGCAGCTCTAAGTGTTTGTGCTACAACATCTTAGTAACATCAGATAGAGAAAATACAGTGAGCTGTCAAGGTAAACCCAGACTAATAAAGGCAAACAAGTAATCCCTCTGATAGGAGCAGAGCAGCCAGAGTCATAAGGAGGTCAGCTTCGGCTCACTTAGCCTTGAGTACTGTGGTAAACCCACTTGCATTATCTGAAACAGCTCATTTAGAACCAGGTCCTGAATCTCCAACTACATTGCAGGTAGACATAACAAAAAATAATTTTAATTATTGCCTATCTGTGACAAAGCTGAGAAAAAAATCCTGATGGCTTGACCCCAGTAGCTTAGTCTGACTGATAGATTGTCTCTCATTCAACCTATGCTCCCACATCAGTGGTAAAGACTTTGGAAATCTCAGCATTTTAGCTGTCCAGGGGAGAAAGAAAAAAAAAAAAAAAAAAGGCATAAAAACTTGCAAACGTATGTTTTAAAGAGCCCAAATTCTTCTCAGTTATCCTGAAACAATCCTGCTTGTCCTATAAGACAGCAGAAGCATGACAGTAGGTTTTAAGAACTTCCTAAAATGGAAAATGCTTTAAAAAAATACCCATTTTGCCACTGCCATTTCACAGAGCTAATCCAAACATCTAAAGAAAAAATATGCTTAGCTAAACTGACAGTGGGGTAAGAATCCACTTCTAAAACATGCTGAGTAACACCTCAGTCCCTCGGTGGTCACAGTGAATCACAACAGGAGCACTCCCAGAGGAACCACTGCTGGGCACAAGAACGGCTCTCAATCTTGTTCTGGAATTTTTGGCTGCATCAATGGCCTCTCTGCTTTCTCTTATATTCTCCCAAGCAATTTCACACTCTGCACATGCTCCTTTGATTGAGGTCAGCACTACTGAAGCTGTAAAATTGAACAGATACCTACTTTCTGTCTCTCAGGTATGCCCAAATTCACCACTTAGTCCTCCCTCTCCCAGCTCTCGGTCATACCCTAAACGCTCATTACTAGCGTTTGCAAGTCAAAGGGAATGTAACTGTTTGAGACACTTCCCACTGCTTTACTGCAAGGATGGAATACATCAGAGGAGCCTTAAGGACAATACTTCCAACACTGCTAAGCTGAAATGTAAACTTGAACCTATTTTTATTAGATTTAACTTTATTGGTTTCGATATTTGTTCTTGCAGACTTGTGAACTGTTCTGCATTTCCAAATGCTATAATACTGGGTAACACACCATCTTACCAAGAAGATACCGACAGAGCATAAGGGGGATATTTAGACAACTATGCTGTCACCTTCTCAGCGCAGATCACCCAGCTCTCCAAAACATGCTGCTGACACAGTGTACATCACACACTCTGATGGCTGCTCCTCGCCCGCTGCTACAGGGGGAGGATTTCACTCTCCACTGCCATCTGCTAGGTAAGATGACTAAAATACATCTTAGCCAATAGACATTTTTTTCCCCCTCCTGGGAGAAATACGCAAAGAAAACTTCAGGTTTTGAATAAAAAATAAATTTTTATATTCATTTTTCAAAAGTTGCCATTAATTCCTAGAGCAAAATTTATTGATATGACTCACAATGTCATTGTCCTAGTATTGAATGAAATATAAAATACTGGGCATTTGCATTGAAATCCCACCAGAGAGACACATGCTGATTTTTGTAATGTAAATCCATAATGTAGCAATAAAGAACAGGCAATTTTCTGTACAAAACTGGAGAAGGATATAACCCTTCATTATATTGCCAGATGTAAACCTCTGCCTGTCTCTCAACGCAAGAGCTCTGCATGAACAACAGGTCATTAAATATGGGTTAGGAGGAGTTAATGATATATCCGATAAAAAGAACAGCCTTTCTGCAGACTTCCACTGCTCTGTTCTCACCAGCTGCTGGACAAAGAGCCATTCACTACCCAGCCTTGTATGAATCCTTTGCATACAAAAAGAGACATCAGAAACAAAAGGACCCTGTCACCCACAGAACTTTTCAGCCTTGCTTGGCGTTTGGAAAGTTATAGACTCCACTCAGAGGGACTGAATAAACAAATGAGACTAGAATGTAACAGGGTAGTACTGAATGTTTAAATACTGAAAAATAGAGTAGAAAATACACCCCTGCATCTCTGTTAAGAAGGGAAGAATAACTTGGAAACAATAAGAAAAGGTGGTTCTCTGCAAAAGCGCCAAAGTCCGAAATAAGGCTGATAAGTGTTAAACAAGCAACTTGGAAGCACAGATAGTCAGCAAGAATCATAAGGTGTTTTGATTTATACACACATAGAATCATAGAAATGAAATAGCTTCTTTAGTCGAGTAGACAAACCACCTGGCATACGGGAAGACAACAGAGGAAAGCGTAGATGACACAGCAACAGCAGTGAGCCAAATGCCATGTAAAACTGCTGTCCCCAAACGTGTGGCTCTGCCCCCAAAGGCCCCATGCCTTCAACGTCCCCTCTCCACATTCATTTCCTCTACATTTGCTCTCTATAGAGCCATCCTCCAGCAAAAGGAATGAACCGAAAATGTAAAAGCAACTTGTTATTTGCTGTCGTTATCCAGCTCTAGCTCTTCCACCGCACAGCATCGATCCCCTCCTCTGTAAACTCCCCGAGACAGGGACGGGGGGCTGCTTTACCTGTGACTGTGCCAAGCACAGCCATGCTTTTAAGCACCGTTGCAAGGAACACAATTATCAGGACAAAATAAAACATGTAAGAGAGGAGCTTGGCCTGCTTCTGCTGCCCTCTGGACAGCTAAACACCTTTGGCTTCTTGTGAGCGGTTAACTCCACAGCGCACCTGGTGACACCGGGGATACAGCAGGACCTCTCTGGAGGTGCTGCGCTGTATCCCCACACCCGGGGCCAGGAGTAGCTCGTCTCCTTTTCCTCTCTCAAGGAACCTCCATCGAGTGTTTTCCCATCAAAACACCAGCAATATCTTTTTCTTTTCAATCTCCCTGCCCCCTTCTAGCAAACAAAGAGAAAATATCAGAACACACAGTGTTACAGACTTGGCAGGTTTTCAAAGCTGTCTGCTGCATTTAGATGCCAAACTTCCATGAATACTAAAAGGATTTGGATGTCCAATTACTCTTAAATAGGTTTGAAAATACAAGTCATCCCCCTCATTTTTCAACATACCAGCTTATGCCCAAGATTTTGGTGAGTTTTGACTTCTACTCTATGTTAAAAGAAAGCCTTTCTAGGGTGAATCCAGCCAACAGACTGAATAGGGCTCCAGTCCCAAATTTAATAAAAAGCAAAAGCTTAATCTGGAGTCCTGGAGGAGGAAAAAAACCCACCCCCAAACAGATTTCGGCACAATCTCCAAGAAGCGTTAAAAGTTACTCAGAGAGTAAATCTCTGATTTTACTGAAGACAGAAACTATCAAAGGGCCCAAGTTAAAGTCCATTACAACAAGTGAGAGAGCACCAAAAACCCATTAAGTATCTTCTGACTGAAACATGGGGAACTGTGTTGGTCTTAAAATATTCTGAATGCTACATTAATAATTTAAACCTCTTCATTGTTCGATACTTTGGGCGACTCCACTCCCTGCACTGGATGTATTGTAGGGCAGAAGTGGCCTTTAGAAATGTTCCTCTCTGCCCCGTTGCTGCGATGACAACACCAGCACAGGCTGCGGGAGTCAGAAACACAAGAACCAGCGCCGCGCAACTGCGCGGTTCCTGCTGCGGCATAGCCCAAGCCAGGTGTGTTCGGCTTTGGGAGGACTTCCTCCCACTTTCCGACATCATGTGAAGAGGAGTAAAGGCAGTGTAAGCAACATGTGTGTCCCTTTAGTCCATCCTGCCACACCAGGGGAGAGAAAACTCCCAACTCCTCTGCAGCCGTGCAGGAAACGAAGGTTACAGATTGCAACCCAGGTTACAGATTGCAACCCAGAAAGGCTTCCTTGGACTGATGGCTGCAGGGCCAGTGCAGATCACTGCTTATTTCAACAGAGTAAGGCCCAAGCTGGGAAAAAGGTTTTGCCCAGAAGATTTCACAAAGCCTCGCTGATTTAACAAAAGCAGCCACTATTCTAAATTATTTGCACCTATAAAAAGTTTTTTTTTCCTGCCCTAGCTCTTAGGTTTCTCTGAAGAACAACATTTTATTTGCCTCTGTTACTCCAGGAAAAGCATTTCACCTTTTTTGGACAGAAT